ACACAATCCGATTGAATGGTGCGTGAAGCTTTTTTTGCCTGTCTCAATGCGTGGTTCTTTAAGCGGTGAAAATGTAGTTCGGAGGGGGGGGGGCACCCTATCATAATCGAAGTAGAGCTGCGGGAAGACACCTACAACTAATCAACGTAGAGTTGCGGGAAGCCACTTATATCTTATCTTTCACTGAAAATGTGGCCTACGAACTAGCACACTTACCCTTGTCATAATTCTGTTGAAAATGGCTGCTACCCTGCTGGCTCTTCACTTTCACCAAACCTTGCGACTGTCATGCAAACTCTCGGAGGAAGGGCCTTCCAGGTATCCGATTTCTGTATGGAACCCGGGTTGGTATCCATATCTAATCATACACTCAGAGATTGTGCTCTGGATGTTGATTAGATATGACCGCACTTCCGCAGCTCCCACTTCGATTAGATATTGTCAGTTCGATTAGATATTTTGAGTGCCCCCCGCCGAACTACATTTTCACCCTTAAGCTCTGCTGTTCAAAACCTAACTTTTGAAATTTGCTGTTTTTATGCAGGTATCCTTGGGGATCTGAAGCTTTTGAAAAAGCAAAGCAGTTGGGTCGTCCAATCTTTCTTTCAGGTGAGTGTTCACAGTATGCCATGAGCACTATCTATCGCAATTCATCTTTTTAGTTGGGTACTCAACTTGTCATTGGTGTCATGTTATGGAAAAGGAATCGTTTGAGAATGAAGAGATTGCTCGCCAATTGAACAAGGATTTCATTTGCATAAAGGTTGTATTCATCGTCCTTTCATATGTAACGGAGAATGTTTAGTTTTGGTAATGTCATGCGAATTTTTTTTAAATGGGCTTCCTCAGGCGATACTTGTGCAATAATTTGGTAGCATGACTTCGGTAGCATCATGCGCTTCCTTGCCAGTGCGACTCAAGCCTGTTTTTCAAGCATATATCTTTTTTTTTGAAGTAATGTTCACGAATAATTCAGCATACCAGTTTGCACTGGAATCACGAAAAACGAAGCAGCACCAGGCAAAACCGAATTGAACTAATGGCTATTTTTTATTTAGCCTCAAGGTACAACGAGATTCGTTCCAGGTTGATCGAGAAGAACGTCCTGATGTTGATAAGTTGTACATGGCTTTTATCCAGGTGAGACTGTCAGTGTTGCTTGTTGATTTATTACTCATTGTTAAGTAACCGTACACGCAAATCAAAAAGGAAAGCAAAGACTGGTTAGAACCTATCTAACCATAAGTGCAAACCAACACGAAACTGAGGTGGTGAGAGTTGAGAGAGGTGCTGAGCAGATCTGCAGGGCATCAAAGGATACGGTAAGGTTTGGAGGTCGAAGAAGGGAAATCTTCCTATGGGAAAGACAGGTGAACCCCCTCAGGGGCGGGCGTACCTGCGATTCGCGGCGAACAATATGCCCCGGCGATTAGTGTGGCACCTCGCGCCGCTTGCGCGGCTGCCCATCAACGCCTTCGCCGTGTATCTAGCCGCTCTAACAGAGAGAACGCTAGCGTTGATAAGGCATCGCCGATGAGACACGCCTGATCCGCAAATAAAGAGGAAAAGTGTGGTTTGCCTTTTCATCCTAATTTCCGCCTTTGAAGATGGGATGTTTATTAGGTCTTCTGGCAGACACATTACTTCATCTTCGAGCGTTCGATCGTCTTACCAAAGTGAAATTCAATTCTTTACAAAGTGCTTCAGATACTTCTTTGTGAGAGCTCTGTGAATAACGTTGCCCGTGCTTGTAAACCATCCGGTAATCATGTTTTGTCTTCCCTTGCGCTCCGTCCGGAGGCTGGCATTACTTTCAGTTTTACGTTCCTTATTAGATACAGTAGTTGCACGAATGACGGGATATTTAAGGCGTCAGGCTTGTTACGAAGTGACCGTAAACTTGCTCAGTTTCCTAACCTAAATGTTACTATAAAAAGAAGAGGCGGCTCACTATACAGCTAATTCACTGCTCTTACGCACGGCCAGTATGCTTGCGATTCAAGGACCTGTGATGGGAAGGGTAAGGATTGCTGGCTGGGGTACCAGCTATTCTTTTAGCTTTTGTACGAGGCGGACAGCTCGTGGATCAGTACAACGGAAGATACTCTTAGAGTAGTCCTTTTATGGCTCTGATAACTATTTTGAAGAAAGCGATAGCGCTAGCTTTTAGGTGGAGCTCTGCTCCACGCGTTATCATTTTCGCAATGTGGCACAACCCGAGTACGCTTGTACGTGCTATATAAAGAATTAGCCACACATCTTGCAACACAGCACAGTGCAAGTGTTATTAGACATTTGTTAAAGGCACACAGCACTATGCCGACTCCATGAGTTACCTCTTTCAGAGGTGAGCCCCATGACATACTAGACCTCAACTTCCTCTCATTCTGTCGACTCGTACTGGGGACGTCCTAGTTTTCTTCTATCTCGTACCGACCTATCACCGGCTGTCAGGGGTAGAGTTATCGGCTCATAGTGATTAATTATATACGCTCCTGGTCCTAACCGCACGG